CACAGCCACCAGCACTGGGGCTGACACATGCGCCATTTACATAACCCCACTACACTGTGACACGGCCGGTTTTTTTTTCGCTGTGTCACAGACAAAGCGGAAAGGGCCTGGAAACAGGTCACACGGTTTTTTTTTTTAGGAATTGGGGTTTGAGCCCCAAACGAGTGCCTCAGGAGGCTCATCTGCCTTTTTTTTTTGGAGGGAGTGGGGTACAGCACCCCACCGCACATGTCCCCATCTTCCCTCTTTTTTTTTGCTTGGCATCAGCTAAGCGAAGGGCCTGGGGCCAGAGTAGCCAGCTGAAATTTTTTTTTTTTAAAGCCACTGACTTCACCTCAACATGCATCTAAACTGTTACGTCCACTTTTTTTTTAGCCTGTGTGGACACCGAGAGGAAGTCCAACCCACTCAAGCCTGGCTGGATTTTTTTTTCCCTGTTCTCACCCCCAACCCCGACATGGAGGTGCGGCCTGGGAAAGCTGCCTGGGGAAGAGGAAACGCTCCCAGGGTCTTTGGGGAAATCATGCATCTTCCTCAATGCTTTTTTTTTCCAGCAGATGTGTGTCTTCAAGAACTCCCCACGCCTCTGTCTTTCTATAGCAGCCGCTCCAGGGCCCAGAGCTAAACACACTCCTGCCAAAAGAACGGCTTTTCACTTGTTTTTTTTTAGAATCTCTTTCCTTTCTTTCTCAGTGTGCAATCTTGGAGGCGAAGAAGATTTTTTTTTAGTTTGCCTAACAGCTAAAGAGGGGGTTAAGAAATCATTGTGCGCCTCATTTTTTTTTTGGCTTCATGCCAGCATCTGCGGAACCATCGGGATACCTCTCTTTATTTTTTTTTTTTTTTTTATTTTTTTGAGACAGAGTCTTGCTCTGTCACCCAGGCTGCAGTGCAGTGGTATGATCTCGGCTCACTGCAACCTCTGCCTCCTGGGTTCAAGCGATCCTTCTGCCTCAGCCTCCCGAGTAGCTGGGATTACAGGCATGTGCCACCATGCCCAGCTAATTTTTGTATTTTTTTTTGTGACAGGGTTTCACTATGTTGGCCAGGCTGGTCTCAAACCCCTGACCTCTTTTTTTTTACACCTTGGCCTCCCAAAGTGCTGGGATTACAGGCATGAGCCACCGCACCTTTTTTTTTATGTCCCTCTTTAAAGCCATCACAGGAGAAAAGGAAGTGCGACGGAGAAGCAGGAGGGCAGGTGGATACCCCCCACCTCAACAAAGCTCTTTGGAAGGGCCTCAGCCCCTTTTTTTTTCATGGGGAGGATGGAGGAAGCCCCATGTTTGCAGGGCCTTCTCCATGTCAGATGCCATGTGTGTGCCCAGACTGGGTGGCTGCGCCTGCAACCCAGGGGCTGGTCGACAATGGCCTGGTGTGCTGGCAGAGTGGGCAGCAGGCTCCCGAGTCAGCTGGGCCAGGTGGCTTTTTTTTTGGATGCACATTGATAGGTATGGGTGCTACTTCTGGGGGAGAGCAGTCTGGTTTTTTTTTGTGAAGGACTAGGAGAGACCCAGTCCTCTGTGAGGGGACCAGTCACAAGGTTTTTTTTTTCCCAGCCCACTGGGCTTCTAGTGTGGATGCCAATGGCTACGAGACCTTCTTTTTTTTTGTGGGTGGGAGTCAGGCCTGGAGGCCAGCCTCCATTTCCACAGAGAACCCAGTGTGGCCCATGACAGGTTTGAGCCCGAGAAGAGCAAGCGATCGCCATACTGAGCCCCTTTTTTTTTGGAAGGGAGGACCCACTGGCCCAGCTCCTGAGCACTCTGAGGAGCTGCGCTTTTTTTTTTCCTAGCATGCAGGATGTTCAGGGCCCCTCACGGCACCAGGCTCTGCACTTTTTTTTTTAACGGACAAAGTGGAGGCTGCTGAATTAGCAGAGTGCAGGAGTTTGCAGCTTTTTTTTTGCCCAGCCCGGAGGGCACATTACTTCCTCTCATTATCCCTTCTGCAAAATTTTTTTTTTTGTGACCCCAGGAAGCCCAGGAGACGCACTGCAAAGCAAGCAAAGCCTCCTTTTTTTTTAGTCTGTACCTGGGAACATGGCGGCGGGCTGGCCTCCAGTTTCACAGAGCCTCGGGTCCCGAGCAGGTGGGGAGGGCATGCAAGCATGCCCATGGTGCCTGCCCTTCTGTTTTTTTTTGCCTGGAGATGCTGGTTACTACCCCAAACTCCTTCTCCCCATGCCTCTGACTCGGCATGTGGGGCTGAGACAGGGTGGAAAACCCACTTCAGCCCAGTTCTCCAGAGGGACGCTAGCTACAAATTCCTCCTCCAAAGGCCTCTCCTTCCACTGACTCTGAAAGTCATCTTTTTTTTTAGAGCTCATCAGGAGTACTGATGCCTCTGCAACTGGAAAACCACATGATGTTTTTTTTTACTCTTGTGGGAACATTCTGCTGCTTTCCTGGTGGGGGGGCCTCTTGCACTTTTTTTTTCCTCTACCTCAATCCCCTACCTGAAACTGGCCAACGTGATGGGAAGGAACTTTTTTTTTATCTTCCTCTTTCGGCCAATGAAGGTTAAGAATCCATTTCTGTCTCTCTGTTTTTTTTTTTCTCAACTGGGGTGATTCTCCTCCCTAGGGGACCTTTGGCAACATTTAGTTTTTTTTTAGATGGTTCCAACTGGGTGAATGCAAGTGCTACCGGCATCCAGGGGGCAGTTTTTTTTTATGCTGCTGACATCCTACAGGGCACAGGACAGCCACCATCCTGAAGAGTTATCCGGCTCCAATGCCAACGGCGCTGAGTTTGAGAAGCCCTGCTCTAGAGGAGGCCAGATTTTTTTTTGGGTGGTGACAGCCTCCCCACTACCACAGGGGCATCCTTTTGGTGGCCAGACCCTCAGAAGCCCCTGCCCCCGCACTGTGATCCTGCTCTTTGTCTTTCTGGTCAGGCATTTTTTTTTTCTCCCATGACTCAATCCTCCGGCCCCATCCCCAGGGTGCCCTCAACTCTACCTCAGCTCCTGAGCTGGCCGGTCACCTCCTGTACGCTCCACTCCGTCAGCTCCCCCAGCAGCATTCAGGCTCCTGCAGCAGTTCCCAGCACACCATCCCTGGGTCTCACCTCCCTCTTTTTTTTTTGCCATCTCCCTGCTTGGCTGCTTCCTTTACCTCTCTGGCCCTTCGTCATTTTTTTTTTTTCTGGCTTCTCCTTCTTTCCCCAACGATTACAGTCTGGAACACTTAGGGTTCAGCCTCAGACCCCTGCCCTCTCATTCCACCTCTTCTAACTCCCTAAGAATGAAAGCTTTTTTTTTGCAGAACCATCTAGAAAGGGACCTTGCACAGAGTTAGTGTTCAGTAAACATTTTTTTTTTGAATGAATGAATGACTATACCATCAATTTCGAGATTGTATCTTGGGCCTTTTTTTTTTCTTGGAGAGCCTGGTACAGCAAACTACTTCTTCAACACCTTCCTTTTGGTTTTTTTTTTGTAATTCAAACTCAAACATGTACCCCCTTCTCACTCCCTGCCACTCTTCTTTTTTTTTTACCTCAGGGACTGGCATCACCATCCACCCAGCTGCCCCAAATCAGAGGCCTGGACACCCTGGCACTCCCAGCTCCCTCTCCCCTCACTTTTTCCACATCAGTCACCAGACAAATCTACTTCCTACTCAGTCTCGAATCCTCATTCTCCAATCTGCCTGCAGATTCCCATTTTTTTTTCAAGCTGCCACAGCCTCTGCTTGGACAACAGCCTTCCAGCTGGCTCCACCTCAGTCCCTCCAACCCATTCGCCCCAGCAACAGTTGTCTTTCAAGCCAGAAATCCGGTCTTTTTTTTTCCCTGCTCAAGCCCTTTCAGTGGCTCCGTGCTGACCCGTGAGTAAGGTCTCCGATCCTCACTATGGCCCACAGGCTGAACCTGCTTTTTAGTTTACAGCAAGATGAGCTTTTTTTTTTCTTTCCCTGCCTTGAAGCCCCATACAGCCTGGGCCCCTGCCAGGACTCCTTTTTTTTTTGACCCCCAGACCATGGTAATCGGTAGTCTACTCAGTCCCCAAGCACCCCATTTTTTTTTAATAACTCCATCACCGTAGGGGTTCCGATTTTACTCATCAGAGGGAGGCCTTTTTTTTTTTTTTTTTTTTTTTTTAAGACGAGAGTCTTGCTCTTTCGCCCAGGCTGCATTTTTTTTTTGTGATCTCGGCTCACTGCAACGTCCACCTCCCGGTTCAGGCGATTCGTGTTTTTTTTTCTCCCAAGTAGCTGGGATTACAGGCGTGCACCACCATACCCAGCTAATTTTTTTTTTTTGCATCTTTTTTAAAAAAGCCTCTCCAGTGATCTAACATGCAGGGCTGAGAACCACGGCTGGACAGCACCTAGGGCCATTTGGACTACTCTAGAAATCTCCTCCACTTGGTTTTTTTTTAGAAGCTGGAGGAATTTGTGCCCTGCTCTAGCTTTCACCAGGCTGAAGGTTTTTTTTTTCCACGCTTCTGGTGACCCTACTTCTTGGAGCTGAGTTGGAGGCAAAAGACCAGCTCCAGCCATGCTGCTGGTGATGACAGTTCTAGACGCCTCCAGCCACTGGGGCTGCTTTTTTTTTACCATCCTGGTCTGGGTTCACATGACTCAGAAGCCTGGCTCCACCAAGCCTTTTTTTTTCCCGCACTGGGGGCTGGGCCTGGAGCACAGCCCCACGTCTCACGCCATCTTTTTTTTTTCCTTTCCTCTCCAAAAGCCTGACAATGGCACTGAATAAGAGGCCATTCCATTTTTTTTTAAGACAGTAACTCAGGAAGGAAAAAATGAATTCAGTTTTGTGGAAAAACATTTTTTTTTACCTGTCTGTTTCATGTCAGAAGCATCAGCAACCAGTATGAAGGGGCAACCTTCTTCATTTCTTTTAAGAACAGATCCAAAGGTCAGGAAAAGGAGGAGAGAGAAGGGAAAGAGAAGGTGGCTGCTTTGACACTTGAACAGCATGAAAGTGAAAAGCCGGGGCCGTGGGAGGAAGAAGAGAAAGCGCGCCACCAAGGCTGACCTGATGATGAAAGGGCCTCTGACCTCCAGGAGCTTCCGTTCGCTGCTGAATCTCTTGAGAAGGTTGATCATGAACTTATAAAAGTAGGAATTCATGGTGGGAGTGGAAGGAGAACATTCTAAGCCTTTGGTACCTGTAGAGAAAGGGACAGAGCCAGCATTTATTCTGATCATGTGTCCACGGGGTGATGAGATCCACACTGTTTTTTTTTAACTATAAATGCCAAACAAGTGTGTGTGTGGGGTGTTATAACAAGATGAGTTTTTTTTTCTAATCAAGAGCCATGGAGCAACAGAGAAAAAGGCAAGTCTGCATAAGCATTTTTTTTTTGGCTTATTGCAAAAATGCCCATTAAAGTCCTACTCGTAACTTGAAAAAATTTTTTTTTAATCCCATTACTGTCCACCCCTTAACCCAAGCCCAAACCACTTCGTGAACTTTTTTTTTGTGTAAGACCCTGCTAGGTGCTATGAATTTTTTTTAAAAAACAAACTCTATTTTTTTTTCCAATAAACGAAATACACTCGGGATCTATTTGGGCCGTTAAGGACAAACAAGAAGTCAAAGAGAAGAAACGGGTAAGGTGCTTGTGTCAATGAGTCAAGTCATTGTGGCTCAAAGGTCAACAAAACTGGTGGACCCACAAGAGGCAAAAGCCAAGCTCCTTCCCTAATTTTTTTTTTGAAAAAGAAATGATGTACACACCCACTCGATTACAGACAGCAAACACTGATTTTTTTTTCAAAGTGTTTTAAGTTTTACTTTTGAAATCAAAAGCTCTTTCTTCCTCATTTTTTTTTTAAGATGCTCTTTTAGGATAGAACTCTGAAAACTTTCAAAGCCTGAGGTGGCTTTCTAACCAGGAGCACAAATGTCTCTGATGTGTGTCCCTGCAGAAAACACACCGAGGTACAGAGGGAGGTAACTTCCAGCCCTCCCTTGCACACATGCCCCTTGATAAAGTACCCATTTTTTTTTGGACAAGGGAAGGGCTGATGGAGTACTTGGATGGTCTGGGATAGTGTATCTTTTTTTTTCTTGGGGGTCTTCCCTAGACATCCCTTCTAATATTTGTCAAGCTCCACAGTTTTTTTTTAGAGTTACCAAGGGATGGAAAGAATCCTCACTCCGCTTGAGGCAGGACTTTTTTTTTTTTTTTTCTTTTTGAGACTGACTCTTGCTTTGTTGCCCAGGCTGGAGTGCAGTTTTTTTTTCTTGGCTCACTGCAACCTCCACCTCCTGGGTTCAAGCTGTCTGCCTGACCTTTTTTTTTGAGTGCTGAGATTATAGGCATGTGCCACCACGCCCAGTTAATTTTTGTATTTTTTTTTTTTTTAGTAGAGGCGGGGTTTCACCATGTTGGCCAGGCTGGTCTTGAACTCTTTTTTTTTGGTGAACAACCCGACTCGGCCTCCCAAAGTGCTGGGATTACAGGTTGTGAGCCACCATGCCCAGCCCGAGGCAGGACATCTTTAAAAAGAAAACAGCTTTATTGAGATATGATCCATATACCGTAAGGTTCACCCTTCTAAAGCGTGCAATGCAGTTTTCAGTACATTTTTTTTTTTGTGCGGCAATCACTACTAATTTCAGAACATTTTTATCAACCCCCCAAAAATTTTTTTTTCTGATTAGCACTCACCATTCTCACCTTCATCGGCCCCTGGCAATCACTCATCTACCTTCTGTCTCTATGGATTTGCCTATTCTGGATGTTTCCTATAGATAGAACTAAGTTTTTTTTTGCTTCTTTCACTCAGCACGTTTTCAAGGTTCATCTATGTTGTAGTATGTATTTTTTTTTTATTCATTTTCAGGGTTGAATAATATTCCACCTTATGGCTATTCCATATTTTGTTTGTCCATTCATCAGCTGGTATTTTCTCCCATTCTGTTGATGTTTATTTTTTGAGTTTTTTTTTTACTATAATTTGAATATTTGTCCCCACCTAAATCTCATGTTGAAATTTAATTCCCAGCGTTGGAAGTGGGGCCTGGTGGGAGGTTACTGGATGATGGGGGTGGATTTCTCATGAATGAGTTAGCACCATCCCCTTGGTATTATCTCTGAGACGGCAAGTTCTCGTGAGATCTGCCTGTTTAAAAGTGTAGGGCACCTCCCTCTCACTCTCTTGCTCCTGCTCTGGCCTCCTCTGCCTGCTGCCCCTTTGCCTTCCACTATGATTGTAAGCTTCCTGAGGCCTCCTCAGAAACCAAGCAGATGCCAGCACCATGCTTTCCATAAAGCCTGCGGAACTGTGAGCCAACTAAATCTCTTTATAAATTACCTACTCTCAGGTTTTTCTTTTTTTTTTTGAGATTGAGTTTTTTTTTTTCTCTCAGGCTGGAGTGCAATGGCATCGTCTTGACTCACTGCAACCTCTGTTTTTTTTTTTCAAGCGATTCTCCTGCCTCAGCCTTCTGAGTAGCTGGGTGTGTGCTACTTTTTTTTTCTTATTTTTTGTATTTTTAGTAGAGGTGGGGTTTCACCATGTTAGCCAGGTTTTTTTTTATCTCCTGACCTGGTCATCTGCCTTCCTTGGCCTCCCAAAGTGCTGGGATTTTTTTTTTGAGTCACTGCACCCAGCCATGTATTTTTTTTTATTGTAATGCAAGAACAGTTTTTTTTTCAGTGTCTTGCTCTGTTGCCCAGGATGTAGTGCATTGAAGTGATTACAGTTCACTGCAGCCTCAAACTCCTGGGCTCAAGCAATCCTCCTGCCTTGGCCTCCCAAGTAGTTTTTTTTTCAGGTGTGTGCCATCACACCCAGCTAAATTTTTTCTCCAAGATGGGGTCTTTTTTTTTTGCCCAGGCTAGTCTCAAACTCCTGGGCCCAAGTGATCCTCCTGCCTTGGCTTTTTTTTTTGTTGGGGTTATAGGTAGGAGCCACCATGGCCAGCCTCTTTTTATTAAAAAAATGTTTTTGAAGCACAAAATTTTTAACTTTGATTAAGCCCAATGTGTCTATTTTTTCTTTTTTTTTTTGTGCCTTTGGTCTCATAGCTATGAAATTATTACCTAATCTAAGGTCATTTTTTTTTTCTGACATATTTTAGGTCTCTGGTCTATTTTGAGTTACTTTTTGTATACGGTGTGAGGAAGGGGTCTAAATCTTTTTGCATACGGATATCCAATTGTTCCAGTATAACATTTTTTTTTTACAGCCAATTCATAGCTACCATTTGTTGAGCACCTACTACGTGCTTGGCCTTTTTTTTTCCTTCACACATAGTATCTAACACCCTAAAAAAAAAAAAAACTTGAAAAATTTTTTTTTTTACTATTCCCATTACATACACAGAAGAACTGTGAATTTGGGTGAGGATTATTTTTTTTTACAGAGCCTGCGAGTGGTAGAGTTGCTGACCCAGGCAGCTGGTCTTCAAAACTCATGTTCTTTGCAGCTCTGCCAGGCTGCCTGTGTCTTGGGTACTAATGTTCAGATATTTTTTTTTCTCACAGATTAGGAGGCAGTGCCTTGCAGGAAGGCAGAAGATGGCATAAAGATGGAAACCCAGGTCCTGCCAAACTGACACTGAAGATGCGGGAAATGACGCTGTGAAGAGCTGTGGAAACAGCACCTGGCCGCAGCTCTCTGGAAACCCAGGGAGGGCACTGGGGGATTTTTTTTTGCCAACAGAGGCATCTGGGGCTATCATTTTCCAGGCTGGCCCCTTTCTGGTCCAGAAGTTGCGTGGGAGCCTTCACTTTCTCCCTGGACCAGGGAGGAAATGGTCAGGCACGAGCACAAGATAGGCAGGATGTGGAGGCTCTGGGAACAAAACTTGGCCAGAAGCCTCAGATGTTCCCAGAAGCATCAGCCCAAAGCACAAAACAAGAATGTGCAGAACCATCCAGAGTATTCCAAGTGAATCTCACGGAGGCGCCTGGACAGACTGACTGTATTCGATGCCAGTGTTTTTTTTTCAGCAGAAAGACTCTCCTCCCAGGGGCTCCGTCTTTTTTGCTGAGCTCAGTTTTTTTTTACGTCCTCTCATGGTCCTTCCTGGGAGATGGTTGGGTCTAGAAAAGGCGTTTTTTTTTTCTGTTTTTCCCAGCTGTGAATCACTCTATAAGGGATTCCTCACCAGGAGCTTTTTTTTTAAACTGTAGCATCCTCAATCCCAAGAACCTCCTAGACAGCTCGCGTGAGCGGCGTGAAGGAGCCCTGAGTGAGAAGACCAGTTCAAGGGCAGGCCTCATTCCACTTCTTTTTTTTTTTGCATTGTCCTGGGTCCCTGCCTGAATCAGCCTGGCTCGGGAGGTCCTGAGTTTTTTTTTAATGGCAAACAGTCTCTGCTCCCTGGCCCAAAGGGAATGTTTGCAGAATCTTTTTTTTTATTCTTATAGATCGAGTTACCCCAGGCCCAGCTGGGGCTGATCTCTAAAGAGGTGGCTGCAGAGACAGCTGTTGAGACAGCCCTGCCTCACTGCTCCCACCCTCAGGAGATGAATTTGGTGGGCCGTGGTGGCCTGGCTGGAGGGCACTGGCTTCATGCTGCACACACTGGAGGTGCCCAGTTCACTGCCAAGCTTCTCCCTGCTGCCTTCCTATTTCTCTATGTGCTTTTTTTTTCTACCCCATTTCCACTTAGGCTCCAAAGCATTCCCAGGAACGAAGGGACCCATGAAGGAAGTCACCACAAAGAAATTCTCCCAACTGGGGCCATCTGGGCAGCCACTAGTTTTTTTTTCAGGGCTGTTCCAGCCTCACAGGGGCAGTAGGAAGCACTGAGCATGGTGTTTTTTTTTTAGTTTCTTCATCTGTAAAGTGAGTGCAATAAGAGCCCCTATTAAACAAGGTAAAAACATGTAACGTGCTGGGTCTGGAGCCTGCCGCACAGTCTGCACTCAATAAATGGGGGCTCTTTTTTATTAGCAAGTGTCCCACAGCACAGAGCACTGCATAAACTGTTCTCATTTTTTTTTTGAATGGATGTCTGGGGGCTGGTCTGAAATGTCCGAGTGGGGAGATTCCATTTTTTTTTTAAATTCACAGTGCTCTGTCAGGATGCTTTGAGGAAGAAGGGGGACCACCTTTTTTTTTTACACATCAGGGTAGGGGGATCAGGCCACCTCTCCACTGACAGTCTGGCCAAAGATGGCAGAAGAGAAGGCCTGGGCTACTCTGGA